CCCCCCCCTCCCCTCGAAAAAACGAAAAAAGACCTTTTGACCTGAAATGTGTAGGGCCTATAGAAAAAGTAGATCTCAGAATATAAAATTCACTAACACCATACAATGGGTGAAAAATCCAAAAGAGCGCTCATTTTCGCTCCTGGGTACACGTACCTCAGAAAAAAAATGTTGTTTCCCAGCTAAGCTGGTATCAAAGGGGAAGGACAACTGGCGACGTTATTAAAAAGAAAAAGAAGAATGAAATCAGAACCCCTAACAGGCGCATTGTTTCATGACTGCAAAGAGAGACAAATGCGACAAAAATAGCAGTACACATGGTAAAATTATATGGGTAGTTTCCCTTCCCACATTGTCCTTTTTGAATTTTGTTTCTTCCCAACTGGCTTTATAAATCGCAAAAAGTTTCTCTTTTTCTGAAAGCTTGGTACCTAATAGAGACGAACAACTTTTACAAAGATATTCATCCTTAAAAGATGTGATAGGTTCTTGACACTGGTTTCTAAAAAAAAGGCCAAACATCAGGCTTTCTTTGTGGCTTTGTGTTATTGTTCAAAGCCAAATCACAGAGATATTATAAATCTAGGTCTTGTAAACGCGCAATAAAATATAGTGCAATAAACATTGAGGATTTTAAACTTTAATAAGGTTTTATTAACAAAACATGATACTTCATCACTATTTATCACTTGATTAAAAGGGAAAATATATCTGTATCATTAAATATGGTTCAAATCATAATGTACTTTGAATAATTTTATTCATACGCTGAAGGAAGAACAATCTACTTCCTTCACTCCATCCACGGCTGTCGTTGGACGTGCAGTCACAAGTTTCAATCGTTTGCATGAATTCCAAAGGTATTCTATTGATATCTGTTTACGTTTTCCAGATAACAAATAAGTTTGTTATCCATGTATGATATGATGCCGTAGATTGTTAAAGAATTTCTAACCATACGCTTATGTTGCTGTTGGCCCATGGGACTTTCCTCCTCTGCTTTGACGCCATTTTCCTCCGCCTCGCTGAGCCTTTCCGTCCTTCATTTTGAATGTAAAATTAACAGCGCCTCGCAGCAGAATACATCCATTTTCTTACAATCTTTTACTACCCCCCGTGGTGTTAAGTTTTTTTTATTTTGCCTAACTGTTCGTGTCTTTGGGCGATTACAAGATCATCATAGCGCTTTTTCTTGAAATCGCCCGCCTTGGCCCTTGGTTCTACTTCGGACGATGAAAAGTGATAGAAGAACAGAGCAGTCGGGGCTTGAATACTATTGTGTTTATGGGTGGTTCGTCAGTGCTGGGCCGGCAGTCTTCTTTCTCTCCATCCTCACACCTAGTCGTTCCCCACTGCGCCCTGACGGTCCCCGTTTTTTCCTGTTTTTGAAAAATGTTATGAATAATGGTCAAGAGAAAAAATAAAATCTAATTTAGCTTTGATTTGTTTAAAATTCAGCCTTAATTTAAAATGTTGGTATTTTAGTTGGAAATTAATTCTCTCCACGCAAAAAGTATTAGACCACCCCAGATCTAGATCTAGATCTAGATCTAGATCTAGAATTTAGATAGGATCTAGATCTAGATCTATCTAGATTTAGATTCTAGATCTATATTATCTAATCTAGATCTAGATCTAGGCCTACTGCCACTCAGGCCACTGCGTTTAGTCTAGGTCTACCTACAGACAGACAGAATAGCCTTAAATAGGCTTGGGCCTAGCATTACCACTTGTCAATAAAGCAACCGGGTGTCATCATTATAAATTGTGGCCATGCCATTGACATTGTAGATCTCAGAAGTAGACTGGGCTAGGCTAATCAATTTTAATTTTATCAATGTTTTGATCTTGATCTCTAGATCTAGATAGGGCCTATCTCTAGATCTAGAATCTAGATCTAAGAAAAGTAGAATCTAATTTTTATTGAAAGAAATCATTTAAATTAGCAATTCAATCTTTATTAGTCTAGCCTACTTTAGGGCCTCTATTTATTTGGCATTAAAATTAGAAAGGCCTATTTTGCCTAAATGTATTATTGTTCGATTAAATTGTTATCAAATAATGAATCCTGCACTGATCTTTAACTGATTTAACAAAAAATGCAATGTACTGATTTTTTTTTTATGGACGGGTTCCCGAAATAATGTTAGGGAAGATTGAAGAATACCGGACCACTCGTACATTATTGCTCGAGAAAGTGGGGTAGGTGGGGCGGGTGGTTGGGGAGGAGGAGGGAGGGGGGGTT